GTTGAATAAATATATATAATATATATATATATATAGTTGAATAAATATATATAATATTTCAAAGTCTGAGGTGGTACCGTTACCTATCTAATCACTATATATATATATAATACTAGTACTTATATACATAAACGGATAGGACTACCACAAGAGCTTGCTCTTGTCGAAATTGGACGGGGATCAAGCGAGGACGGATGCAATCAAATGGCAAAAGGAATTGATTTTACAGCAACGTCGACGGGTGAAACAGCAAGCAGATATTCAACGCCAGGATATTCTAAACAGCTTTTACAAAATGAAGGTATTGTACAGATTTCCAGACCTTCTTGAATCGACGCTATGAGTTAATTCATTTTTGAGTGGCTTTGATTGGCTCTTACAGAACGGACAAGTAGTATATTCAACCAATCAGAGCTCCACCGTGATTCAATATTGATTAGACACAAACCACATGCACAATGAATATATACTATGCTTTATATCGATCTCCCTAAACTAGTCTATCTTTCACAACATATGTCCTAACAACAACAACGATAACAACCTCTAGATTACCAAGAAATTTAACCTCCAAGCCGTGGAAAGTATCTTGTCAACCACGTCACAGAAGTCGATATCCGGAGGCAGCCCCTTAGCCAACCCACTGACCAGCCATCGGCCCAAAACTGCGCCAAAGGGGGCAAGACGTCCCACCACGCCTCATAAATGCTCACGGTTGTTTATATTTATTTCACGTTGTCGCATATTATCAATCACGCTACTAACTGGATATATGTATGTATATATATGTATGCAGGGTCATCAGTCGGCGCATCTCACGATACCCGTCCGACAAGGACATGGCACAATCTACATCGAACGAGTCTCCAGCTCAAGAACCCGACGTGATGCACAAGCAACCGACGACGACGACGCTGGACGAACAAGTGGCCATATACCGGCGGCGGCAGAACCAACAGCTTCTCCATGTACTCGAAGAAGAGCAAGCGGCGGAAGAGCAGCGCGATGTGATTCTGCGGCGAGCTACAGACACGAACGAGCGATCTCGGCTGGAAAAAATCTTTGGCTTCGAGCGCGCCCAAGCCAGCGACCGCATCATACGACTCACGGAAGAGCATGAGATCATGTTCCATCAGCACATGACGGAGCTTGGGCAGGCTGCCAGCATGTAAATAAACCAAAGAAGGAGAGTATCATCACACTGTTGAAATGTCGTCGAGACGGCCGTGGTCCGTAGCGCGGAAGGCGCGGGTGTGGCTACAGACTGAATTAATATGGAGCCAAACGAAGTATAAGAAAATGGAGGTTCCAAGTACCTGTCAGTTTTAATCTCATACGATGGAAACGACGAGCCTCGCACAAGGCTAGAGAACACGAAAACGATCATAGATGCTGCCAACATGTAATGTATTGGGTGCAACTATTATATTACCAAAAGGGTACCACAAAGTATAATATATACATGTATATATATATATAATACTTTGTCGTATATATATATATATATATATATATAATACTTTGTGGTATATATATATATATAATGCTTTGTGGTATATATATACATATAATACTTTGTGGTATATATATATATAATACTTTGTGGTATATATATATAATACTTTGTGGTATATATATATAATACTTTGTGGTATATATATATTATATAATACTTTGTGGTACTGTATGTATATATTATATAATACTTTGTGGTATATATATATATAATACTTTGTGGTATGTATATATATATATATGAAACATCAACATAAAGCCCAAAACACATATTGAAAACGAACGACGGAAAGAATATTAATATATATATATATATCTATTCATGTTTTTATTTCCAAAATCAACAGATTGAAACAAATGGAGACATGTACCGGACGTGAAGACGCTTGGTCACTTGAGATGTCCATTCAGATGGCATGGATTCAACATGTTTTGATCCAGTCCCGACGGCGTCGCCTAATTTAGGTGCGATGGATGGGGATGGATCAAGTTATGGGGATGCGTACGTACAGTTCTTGGCTGCAAAGATCGTGGCGGAATGCTGTCGCACCAGGTCTTTGAGTTGGCCGTACACGTTGACGGGTTTGCGGTACGAGGTGTCCTGCAGGCGATGCTGAATCATCTACGATCGTCAACGATGGGAGGACGAGGTTGAGCTACAGGAACGTCCGGACCTTGTCGATCGCATGAAACGATCCGATGCAATCGACCGCAATGACCGGCAACACACCGGACTGGGCAAGTAGCTTCGTGTGGACGGTGTGTAGCTTGGCACTCCAATCGTCGCTCGTCTCGGCATGATACACGAACAGGCGTTCCATGGTCCCATCCACGTCGTCGTCATTGCCATCATGACCGTTCGATGACATGCATGCCTGTACAAGCTGCCGCATCTCGTTTGCGTCCACCATACACTCGTGATCAAAGTAGTGAACTTGGGTGCGCTTGTCGTGGACAAGATACGCGGCGCACACATGTTGCAGCAGCAAGCTCTTGGGACTTTGCGCATCTCCGTAGACCTCCACGACAGACCTCGACTGGATGCCGTCGGGGAACATCGCATCCACCACACCAATCTGGCTTACGAACGGGTGATCGTACCATGTCCGCTGCACAACGTCGAGTGCGGTCTCGTCAAGTGCCCACATGTCAAATTTGGAAGTGCCGTGGAATTCCGGATAATTCATGTCAACATTATTATCCGGTATTTTAAGCCCATTTTTGAAATGAGTGTGGCACCGCCATCAAGTGCGACGGACACGTTGCGCCTTCGCAATGGCGTGGAGATGCCGTTCCTTGGGCTAGGAACGTCGCACAATGGAGGGTACTCGCATGACGCCGTCGTGGTGAGTCTTCGACACGGCCTGCGCGCCATCGATACAGCGACTCGGTATGGATGCGAGTCGCAGATCGCCGACGCCATCGCCGCCAGTGGCGTCCGTCGCGCAGACGTGTTCATCACAACAAAGCTCTTTTACGACGACTATGGTTACGACAATGCGATCCGAAGCGCGGAAGCATCGCTCGCCCGTCTCCGTACCGATTACATTGACCTGTACCTCCTGCATTGGCCTGGCACGCCGTCCACAGCGCATAACCGGCAGATTCGGGCAGACACGTGGCGAGCCCTCGTGCACTTGTACTCTGTGGGCAAAGTTCGATCGATTGGCGTGAGCAACTTTCTACACTCACATTTGGAGCAGTTGCAAGCCGACAGCCTGGCCAGTGGCATCTCGGAACGACCGCACGTGAATCAAGTGGAATGTCACTGCTTCAATCACCCAGTGCAATTGATTGCTTACTGCAGGCAACACGGAATTGCGTTTGAAGGGTACTGTCCATTGGCCAAGGGCCAGCTTTTAATCGAACCAACCATTGTCGACATGGCTAAGCTGTACGCGTGCACCCCTGCCCAGCTGTGCATTCGGTGGAATCTCCAGCACGGCTACATTTGCATCCCGAAATCCACCAAGCCAGAACGAGTGGTCGAGAATGCTTGTGTCTTCTTCTTTTCAATCACCCCCGGTGATATGACAAAGCTCGATGCGCTCCACGATGGCCGGCATGTGACGTGGGACCCTACGAATGTGCCATAACAACGTTTACACGATGTATGTTGTGGACACTCGTGTACTGTACGCCCCTTCAATACATACATACGTATCCATCACTTCGATTCAAACATGTAATGGGTCCAAAGAGGCCAAGAGGCCAACCACCACACCGCACTCAGAACTGTACCGCCAAACATTAGCGTGGAATACTGCACCCGTGTAAATAGCAACGTTAGTGCGTGCTAGTATTTCATACTACAGTACCATACACTACCGGTACTGTATGTACTGTACATCGGTACATTGTTCAATGCAGGTTATACATGTACACTGTACAGTACTACGTAGTACTCCGGAGTAGTATATAATTGGAGTTTAGATAAGGAGTTTACAGTTAGATAAGTTCTAGTCTAACAATGATTGGCGATGATTTAATAGTACAGCGTGAACGAGTCAAGCCACTGAGCCTTTCGATCTGCATACCCAGCGGGGCAGAGCGGGTACGATGTCCGCTTGGCACTCGGGGCGCTTGCGAAGACTGTGTACTCGGACGCATTCTTGACGATGCGGCGGATGGCGTGAATCGTCGAGTACGACCCCAGCAGAATCGACACCAAAATGACTGTCCAACACAGGAGCTTGTGGGTCTTGGACATTTCGTTTGCGAACAACTTGTAGTACAACAACAGGGGCATGATCACCGAGCAAATGTTGGCCAGCGACGCACCAATCAAATCGGCCATGTCGTAGAACGAGCTTTGCAAAAGCGTGGCGAGAAAGCACTGAATGGCCACGATGATTGTGCGAAACACGATACGGCGGGTGTTCTCGCTGGACATGGAAGCTGTCGACGAAATGCTGGCTTCGGTGTTATCGCCATCCACTTGTTTGACTGGTGGAGGCGTTTGAACCATCTTCTTGGGGGTGGTCGCTACATGGAAGGGGGCCACTACGTCCGTGTCACCCCCAGCTTCGACGTCATCGCCGTCTTCGGCGTCGCTTTCATCTTGCAGCGCTGTTTGAGGAAACAACGTCTTCTCCACAGTGACAAAGAACGGGTTCAAGAGCACTGCAAACGCCATTGAAATGTGCAAAAACATGGACGCATATGCCACTCGACGACGAGATGTGGTGTGCGACATGGCCAAGAGGAGGTTGTTGGGCGAAGCACAGCCAAAGTGGGCGTACCCGAGGGCCCCCAGCGTCACGTAGAACCCCGAAATGAGCAGCATACCGTAGACTAACGCTGTGGGCATCTTCTCTGGCTGGGGGTGGTGGTGCTGCAGTTGGGGGACGATCAACGCGGCCCCATATGCCAATGCAAACGATCCGAACGTGTCGAGGACGTTGGTAAAGCCGACGTTGTCAGTAGGTTCGTACAACTCGTCCCCGTGGGCGACATAGGCGTCGACGGTGGCAAGCACATCTGCGATGAAGGTAGCAGCTGCCCCGGAGATCAACACGATGTACGCTTCATGTAGGACGCGGATGTAGATGATGGGAAGAAGGATCACCGCCATGACCACGATCCACAGGGTGGTGGACATGTCGACGGCGCCGTCAAAGATGGCCGGAAGGAGGGTCGCCCCACCCAGCACGAGGAACGCCACCGGAAGGAGAAAACA